AACCCGAAGGGCATGACTTTATAACAGTAAGTGCCCTTCTCTGTAATGAAGGCGGTTTTTTTTTCGTCCTCTGGATCCATAGGGATTTGATTATATCCGGAATACGCATTGAGGAATGTGAGTCTCTCAAAACCAATGGTAGCATCAACCATCCGATCTATCTTAGGCAACGGGAAGGTATCCTTAGGGCAAGCCTTGTTAAGATTAGTAAAATCTATGCAACCTCTCCATTTTCCATTCTTCTTCTGAACTACCACTACATTCGAGAGCTATTGTGGGTAATGCACTTCTCGGATGAAACCTGCTTAAAGCAACTTGCTTACTTCTTTAGCAGTGATTCGATTGCGCACAGGAGTGAACTTTCTGTGTCTTTGCTTAACCGGCTTGAATGCCGGATCCACCTTCAGGCTATGGCATGAGATCGAAGGGCTGATTCTAAGCATGTTTGAATGATCCTAGGTAAATGCATCTATATTCTGTCGGATGACATCAATTAATACCCCTTTCTCCTCAGCTGTGGGAGAAGAGCCCATATAAGTGATTTTCTGAGGATTGCCGAGGATAACTTCGACGGTTTCGAGAGATTCCTCAGTAGGCTTTGTAACTTCGACTTCCTTCTCTGCTTTTAAATACTTGGGTAGAGGGCTCTGTAATTGCTATTTGGAAATACTGTCGAGGGTCGCATCTGGCTGGGACTACTTGATCCTCTTCTTTGCCTCATTCAATGTCAGCATGTAGCATTCTTTGGCAATGCTCTGATCTCCCCACAGATTAATAACCTCTTTACCATCCGAAAACAATCATCGCGTCACCTGATGAAGGGTAGATAGGACCCCATTCATTCGGTAAATCCAACCTCTTCCCGTAATGAGATTATAGGAATGATGGATTTCTATCAAAATAAAGTTTTCCTTCAATGTCCTTTTCGCCACAGTGACAGATAAATCAATTACCCCAATGGGGTCCACCTTCGTGCCATCGAACCCCATCAAAGGACTAGCGGTAGGCCGAATTGATGATGATGGGATCTCTAGTTGCTCAAAGACCGCCTTTGTGATAATAGTGACGCTGCTACCTGGGTTTACCAAAACTCTTTTGATCATGCAATTTGCCACCAGAAGAGTGATGACTAATGGATCCTCCTAGGGAAGTTGAACTTTGGATAAATCTCCATCGCTGAACCTAATACTGATATTGCCCGAAGGGATAGTGTTTACCGAGGATAACTTCCTTAGCTTGTGGGTTGCCCTTAATCTGGATTGGTACACTTCTTCCGACTCTTGGTCATCCTCTGATCTCCCATGTATCGCATGAATGACTTTTACTTGATTGCCCTCTACTTTCCGAGGATTGACCTTCCTAGGCTTCATGTACTCTTTTGATGTGAGGTAATCTGCTAACTCACCTCTGGTTATCATGTTTTCCACTTGCCGTCTAAGGGACCTACAATCGTTGGTTGTATGCCCATAATCCCTATAGTAAGCACAATGTTTGCTTTTGTCCCTTTGCTCCAAGGGTTGCCTCATTGGCTGAGGAGCTGTAAACCTTACCTTGTTTTCTTGGAATAGCCGAGTCAGGGTTGTACGAAGAGGTGTAAACCTCTCCTCAGTCCTTTGTCTCTTCTTAGGTACCTGAGCGACCGGTGCTGAGGCATGCTGGCTTCTTTGACTTTTTGAACTCGAAGCTTTTTTCCGAGGCTTATTTTCTACAGTGATGAGGGTGGCATGTTGTGCTCGGTGGGATTCTCCTCAAGTTGAATGTAGAGTTGTGCTCTAGCATTGAGAGTTTGCATGTCTGGAGGGGAATATTTGACTAGGAAGGTATGGAACTTGGTTCCCTGAATCATACCGATCTTGAATGTTTCTATAGCAGTCTTAGGATGATAATTTGCTATTTCTGAGGCCTCCATATTAAATCTGGATAGGAAATCCTGTAGCGTTTCTCTTCTCTTTTGCCTTATGGTGAAGAGACTAGAGATGGTCTTCTTCTACCTCTTGTTTCCGCAGTATTGTGCTAAGAATATAACGCACAAAGTTTCGTAGTTTGGGATAGACTTTTGTGGCCTATTCTTGAACCATTCCAATGCGGCTCCCATTAAACTAGTCAAGAAAACCTTACACATGAATGCATCATTGTGATTGTCCAGAGCCATCTTCTGTGAATAGTGGTTGAGGTGACGAGAAGGATCTCTTGTGCCATCAAATTGAGTAAAAGAATGCATGGTGAATTTCTTAGGCCTGTCAACAAGGTATATATCATTGGTGAATGGAGTCCTCACTAGAGAGTTCTTGTGATCTCTGGCCATCTCAGCGAGCGTCAAAATCCTCAGGAACCTCTTCTCATCAAAGGCCTCCTGGACGTCAGCGCCATCCGGAATGCCATTAGACCATACCGTAAGCTTACTACTGGACTCAACCTGTTCGTCCTACATGCGACGAGGATGATTGTCCGAAACGACCACTTCGGTTCTTGTCCTCTGCTCTTGCTGAACGTTGTTAGGCCAAACCTCATTAGGCCGAACCTCATTAGCTTGAGGTTCGTTAACCGGAGGAATGTTTTTGTTGAGGGGAGGTGCTGCCGCATCACCTGGTAGTGGATGCGGTGCTATCTGGGCCATAACTGGTTGGAGGGCATCGTTCCTCTGTTGAAGCAGCGCAATCCGGGCTGTGTTGGCCTCGTTCGCTTGACGAAGCGTTTCGAATTGGTGCAAGAACTCTTCTCGCATCTTTTGCATTAACTCTATCTGTTGATCAGTAGCTGCTGTAGATCCTCCCATTGACACTCTAGATCGTAGTAACATAAACAATTTGAATCACTTGTGGGAGTATATTTCTATACGTTTTCCACAGACGGTGCCAAACTGTAAGTGCAAAATTTCTCTCTATAAAAGAAATTAAAAGAAATAATACAATTTACTTAAGATAAAATAATAACCAATAAGATTACTCAGAGAAAAGCGTATATTGCTCGATGATCATTATTGGAGGACTAAACCTCTATTTATATACAAAAAGGTGGTAGAATTATGGTAGGACTCGCCTTACTTGTCTTCCAATTTATTCCATATATAATTCTTTACTAATTAAGTTACTAACTTTTACAATTATCTCCATATCAAATTTATCCTTTTGAAGAACTTTCCTTTCAGTAGGATCGTTCGTTTAGTAGGACTCATTTACTCCCATATAATCTGGGCCAAATACATCTTGGGCCAGCCGAGCTTGATTGATAGGCTTGAAACTTAGTACCAGCGATCTTGGGCTAAATGGAGACTTAATTTGGACTCGACCCGGATTGGGCTTCTACAATTTGTTAAAGGATCGAAAGTATAAATTTGTATTGCGATGACGTGAACGACTCTTACTGGAGGGGGATTTTTCCCTCCACAGTCTGTTTCTTCAATTCTGCTCTTAATAATTGGATTTGAACTTACACTATTATCTTTACTTTACAATAATTATATATTTTTTATTTCTTGACAAGAAATTTAAACAGACATTCGAGCTCTTATATTTTACTAATATCACTAATTTAACCCATGTCCCCCATCAATTTTTTTGATAATTATATTTTGTGAATGAGACTTGAAAAAAATAATAATAATAATAAGACAACATAAAATAGATTCTGTGGATTAAACATTGGTAGGTTTTATGACAACAACAGAGTACAGACACTAATTGAGATGTTCCCGAAGGTTTAGAGAGACTTTTGACCAATAGATTATTTTATTGTTGGGTGGTTTTATAAGTTGAAAACAGCCTAAGCAGCCCATCAGTTTCTCCAATGGTTTTTTCAATTTCTTGTACAGTGGTACTAAACAACTACCTTAATCAACCTTATCATCTTTGCAGTGTTGTATTGTAGAGAATAAGATACCAAAGTCAACAATAATATATAATTAAAACTACGTTGCCATTAAGCAAAGCATGTTGGGGTGCCTGTTCCAGAAAACAAAAGCTACTAATGTGGCTTCTGAAAAAATTGAAGTGATATTTTTAAGGAGGTAAAATTGGTACGAATACTCTAAACAAAGGCATGGGCTAAAAAATGATTGGACCGTCTAGGTACGTAGGCCCATCATGACCTAAGATCACAAATCGAGGATAATAACTAGTAGCGCGAGGAGATCAATGGATGTAAACCACCTTTGTGTTAGGCTATAAAAGTGGTATTAAATCAAGCGTTCAAATGATGCTTACCCCAGAGATTCCTACCTTCACCAATCACACTCCCCTGATCCAGTCTATTTTCTCCCCTTCAACCAGAGTTCTTCCCTGGACCCCTCATACATGTGATTGATATCTTTATTTTATGTTGTGTAACAGTAAAGAACCCCTACAATACATTGAAACAATGTTTATAGTATCAAATTGACGCATTAGAATTGAAATTGAAGATCGGATTGACGCATTAAAATTGAAATTAAAGGAAAATTAGTTTAAACTCATGCAACATCACGTCACCAAGTTTATTTTCCCTAATTGAAATGGGTAGAAATTAAATTTTGGGGAGAAACTAAAATATAAAGTACAGAAAGAATTTCAGGTCTGTTGAAGAAGCCACAGAAAGCCATGGAAGAAGACGGGCAGAGAGTAGAAGAATGAGCTTGTGGTCCTAAAAAACTGAATGAAAAGCAACTCTAATTTAACACAATCTCTCTGGTTTATGCAGAATCAAATGGTATCAAATCTTCAGTAAAAAAATAAAATAATAAAATAAAACTCAGATTTCGAACTTCCTATCAATTCAAGAAATTTATCTCTGTAAACATACTCTTTTAACAAATCCTCGTTCTTCCCTCCTGAACAATCCCATACAATTCAATATGCCTTCCCTGCATTCATCTCTGATATACTCATTTGTGCTATACTGCAGAAAACTTTTTATTCTTTAAATCCAAAAGGCATTTTTGTTAATATAATAAATAGATACATAATTCCAAGATTGTGCCATGTTGTCTGTTCTGAATAAGGATGTAATTTTAGGGCATCACACGATACAATGGTAACTTTTTTTCATTCTTATACGTACTTTACAGAGCCAAATGAGAATTTTAATTACAAATCACCTCAGTGTTTAAAATTGATCATATCAGGGTAAACGAAAGACAGAAAAATTACCCTACATTTCATCACTGTAAACATGCACACAACGGAACTTTTATAATTTTTTCTACCATTTCACATCCAGCGTTAGTGCCTCTGGAGGGACAAGGAGTGATGGGAACTTTGTAAACGAAATATTGGACATCAAATTACTCCAAGCAGATGAATCTGCTCCAACGAAAGGTATCACCTTCTTAATCTCTAGGGGTTTCAACCTCTCTGCTTCAATCCTTGCTAATACCTCGAACCAAACACGTTCAAAAGTAGGCCTTGTTCTCCAATCATTGAGAGTGTCATTGCTCCCCATACCCCTTTCCAGTTCCAACTTGAAGCGAACCACATTTGATGCTTTAGTTTTTGCTTTGACAAAACCCGAAACAGCTTTCTGATGGATTTTGTCAACTAGAAATCTCCTCAAAGACATTTCCACCATAGATATCCTCAAAGCTAGAGAATCAATGGGGCGGCCTCGCTTTTTGTAGTAATGTCTGGTGTAACATTTTTCTGGAAGCAATTTAATCGTATTCCTAGATAGCAAAGCAGTCTCAATCCAAGCATCAGGGTTTCGAGTTTTATACGCCACCACTGATGCAGACCCCGAAATTCGTATAGGGAGTAGCGGCATACATAATGAACGCCGAATGGACCAAAACTCAATTCTCTCCCTGTTAATCACGCCACTTCTATTCATTCGTGATCCAAGTTCGGATGCATGAAGCAGAGAGACTTCTTGAGCACGTCTTACTTCTATGGTGATGCCTTCACCGACAAGGATTCGTTTCAGACCAGTATGTGAAGTATTCAGCTAATATGCAAGATCAAGAGGTACAAACAGTCAGTAGGAGGACTAAAAAAGGACTCTGACATGCATTAATATGGTCAACCCTAGACGAACCAAAGTAGATTATGAAAACACCACATTCAGTTCTGTTTATTAGAACAAGTATTTCCAATATAAATGAGCTATGATAGAATAAAATACATTTAAACAATAGAGGAAGGCAAAGAATAAATATAACAAACACTCTCAACATTGTAAAGCCATTACATAAGCTTCTAAATGAGAGAGGAACGCAAGGATTTCAATGGCCTCAACAATATATATACTCCCTAAAATTTCTGTTGTTTGTAATTTTCAACAGCATGTGCTTTGCCAAGTGTCGCAAGATAGAGAACCAGCCTAAAACCTTTGTCAAACCCCCATGGAAATGAGTTATGACAATATTTGAGTAAATTTTAGTGTGTTCACTTAAATGATGTGTTGCACTGACCTCCAAGGGCTTCAATAATTCAGAATCGATGGAAAATGGCTACGGATTTCCACACTATTTCAGATATGCGTAGGGAAAGAAGTTAAACCAAGATAGTAGGCTTAAAAAGCAATTTGGAATATAGAAACGTTGACAAATTAAGAGATAGTTGGTAGATACTATGACTACAAGAAAGATTAATAAAGTAAACCTGCAAGAAGTAAAGGCTGGAAGAGAAAAGGCAGGAAAATTAAAAATACAAGATGAGCTATATTTTTTTTTGTTAAAAAATAGATTTAAAAGTGTATGGTAATAGTTGATAAAAATTTCAAAGAATATAATAGTAACTGATAAAATTTAAAAGAGAACATGCAACTACTAAATAATACTATAAAGGAGATATAAATATATTAATTTAACACTAATATGGGAAAAGATTGTTGAGGGTATAAGATGGTGCCCATTAAATAAAAGTAGATACAAATTTGAGATAAGAACGATGTCAGCCAGGCTCTTTTAGACTTTGATGTGGCATATAATCATTAATAAATACCCATCTCAAAAAGAGAAATTAACATTTAATAACAATTGTCAGATTGACTTTTCCCCAAGTAGAAGATTAGATCTTCTATATATAAATATCATACGGGTGATTGACCAAAGAGCTGACTATAGCAACATAGATGAACAATTTTAGATGTACATATAGAAAGAAAATTAAGAAAAATGGAGATTATAAACTCAAAACTATGTTACATGGACTCTTCAAAAGTAGGTGAATTACCCGTGCCGGATGCGCTATACTCGGAAATGGGTATGGAGTATGTGTCTGACACTTTTCGTTGGACATGCTCCGGAAAACACATCCAATAATTTAATTTTATTATATTATTGCATCAAATGAATGAATCACTTATTTTAGACAGTATATTACATAAAAGACATTATTTTACTCCAAAACATAAAATAAAAATATTAATATTTAGCCGTGTCCATGTGTCCTCCTATTTGGGAATCACATCCGAAATGTGGATACATACTAGTACCCAGCACATGTATGAGTCTAGGTAACATAGCTAAAAAATTAAGTGACAAAAATGATCGAGTATATTCTTATAAAACAAAAATATTAAACATAAAAATATAATAAAATATATTTAAATGCATAGTACGTGTCTAAGTACCCCATATCAAACTTCTAAACACATATCCTGGTATCTTGAAAATTGGGGTTTGAGAAGGTTCGATGCTCCGTTTGGTAAGAAGAATGGAAAAGTGATCGGAATTAGTAGTAGAAAGGATGGGTGACGAAAATGATTGAGTATATTCTTAAAAAACAACGATATTAAACATTACATTATAATAAAATATATAATTTTTATGAAGGCATATTATGTACCCGCATCCAACTTCTAAACACATATTCTGAAATTTGGGGTCTGAGGAGGTCCGATGCTCCGTTTATTAAGAAGAATGGAAAAGTGATCGGAATTAATAATAGAAATGATGGATGACAAAAAAGATTGAGTATATTCTTATAAAACAACGTTATTAAACATTACATTATAATTAAATATATAATTTATATAAAGGCATAATACGTGACTACTTACCCGTATCCAACTTCTAAACACATATCCTGAAATTTGGGGTTTGAGGAGGTCCAATACTCATTTTATTAAGAAGAATGGAACAGTGATCGGAATTAATAGTAAAAAGAATGGATGAAGCATTCCTAGGAAAGGGAATCATCTTCTTCCTTTTTGTTTGGTTGAGTTGAAGGAATAGTAGAAATAATAGATGAAGTGACACTTTTCTTTATTTGGGTAGAAGGAAAGGAAGGAAATATTTTATATTTTTTACCATTAAACCCTCATTATAGAATTTAACCAAAACAAGTTAGCGCAAACTGGGTAACTTCACATTATACATAATAATTGTCCTTCTCGTTCCTCCTCCCTTTTATCCAATTTTGAGGGGATGAAAATTTATTAGTAAGAAAGGATGGCAAATCCATCCATCCTTCGTTTCCCTCTAGTTTTTCCTCCTACCAAACAATGGAAACTTGTTCTATCCCTCCATCCTTCCCTCCTACCAAATGGAGCCTTAGACATAACACACCCAATACACTTACCCGAGTTAACTAATAACTAGTAAATAATTTTATATAAATGTATGGGGATATATGTGGTTCTATATGTATGCATAGAAGTTTGATTAGTTTTTTAAAATCCTTTCAATTAAGTACAAATCAAAACGATAATTGAATTCTTAATCTGTTTTGATTTTTCCCTGATTCAAATTCATTATATTTACTATTCATTTGTTTTGAACTCTCAATTTTAGTGCTTGCCTGCCCGTGGGCCAATTTTATCTCATCCCAACTGGCATTTCAATCCAAAAACCTATTTCAGGATTGTAAATCTCTCATTAACCATCAAAAACAGTAGGTCATCTATAAGAAATTGAGGCACATACAATCTTCCTCTATACAAACTCGTCTCGATGGTGATGGACATTGGTAGTGGTTAGCACTCGATATTTTGAGAATGGTATTGTTGATATCACGGTCTTAGAATAATATTTCTTGGATGCATTTACAACAAACATGAGAATAGCATTTTGCGGTAATATACTGCAAATTAAATTGCTCATTGCTTTTCCTCACCTATATCGTTTATGAACGTACTATAATTTTACATAGACGTATTTTTATTTTATTTTTTTAGTTTAAATGAAACCGTTTCGAAAATCATTTGATGATTCAATTGTTACTAATCTTATAATTAGTACTCTGATTTTTGGTTGATTTATCAATCTATTATGCTATTTTGCCCTAACCACAATAATTCAATACAAACATATACACATGTGTATATATAAATAATATATGAACACGAAAACAAAGTGCGTATCGAAATTAAAGAGCATACCGGCGGCAATTGTAGTGAAATCTCATCATCTCCACCTACTTGCAACTCGAAAGGACCTTCGATTCGGATGGTATTGAGCACTGCCACCGAACCAACCTCCTTGACCAAAGATTCGAAGTCACCTCCTTTCTTGAGTTTCTTCCACAAAGACACATCGTCCCTGAATCTAAAAACCAATTCACTCTTACTGATCCGAAACAAAAACTCATACCTCTGCGAACTCCCAAACTTGGCATTCCTCACATCCAATTTCGAAGAAACCCGGATGTCCTCCAGATTCCACTTGTACTTCACCGATATAGCCTTCAAAACATCCTGAATTCACATCACGACAATCACAAAAGCTCAAGATTCGAAATAAAAAAGAGAGAGAGATTAATTAGGAATTGAATTCGAATTCGAATTCAACGTACCTCCAAGAAAGTAGAGGGTTGAGGACGAAACTCGTCGCTGATCTTCGGATAGAGATAGTGAGAAATGTTTAGGGATGAGGAAGTGATTGCGAGAATTAGGGTTAGGGTTTGTAGGTAAATGAGAAGTAGGAGAGAGAAAGTGAATCGTATGATCATCTTCTAGGCGTCTCTCTCTTGTCAACGGTCGACGAAGTCTACTGTGTGTGCATTGATTTAGTTGAATCGAAAGACTCGACGTTCTGAACCACGAGAGGGTAATTGAGCTTGGATGTGAGAGATCTACTTAGCTTGAAATGACTGTAATAGCCACTGAAAGAAAATGGAATTTCAAATAGGTGATCTGAGCCGTAGAAAAAAACTACGCCCATAAAGTCAATATAATCGACGGTTCACAACTGAATGGATAAGGCCTAATTATTAAAATACAAAGGTATTTGGTTTTGAAAAACAGAACAATTCTGAAAAAGTTGAGACAAATCTTGTTAGCCAGCAGGAATGGGCGCAAATTCTCTGGTGTGAGAATCCTATGCAGTTGGCTTATAGATTTTTCGCATCAATTCTTTCTTTGATAACTCTTGAGGCAGCGTTTGGGTGCATTAATTACAAAAAGAAATAAAAAAAAAATTTTACCATCATTTATAAGTATTTTTACCCTAAGAATAAATCAATGCATACGATACAAACTAAGTAATGTCATATACAAACGTAACTCAATTTAATATATTGTGTTTGGCAATTATACTACTCTTTATAAGTAACATTTCACCACCATTTCAATTTACTATACTGTGTTTGGCAATTATACTACCATAAGTAACATTTCACTACTAGTTATAAGTATTTTTACCCTCAAATTAAGATATGCACTATTTATGTTACTTTTAAACTTATGTAATGTTATTTTTTTAGACTCCTATAATGTTACTTAGAAATGGTAGTGAAATGTTATTTATAAATGACGGTATAATTGCCAAATACGATCTCAATTATCAAATGGTAGTGAATGACGTGACTAAATATAAACTATATCGGAACTCACTGCAGGACCGCATGAGAATCCACACCAGAATATTTGCGCCCGGTAGTAATAACTTGAATCTTATCAATATAATCGATGGTTCACAGCCTTGAATATTTATTGAGAAGTATCATCTTTGCTGGAGATTGTTTTATAATTTAGAGAGATCATCACAGCCTTAAATATTTATTGGAGGGAAAATTTGTCAACCTTGACTATCGAAACATTTGGGTTGAATCATTTGGGTTGAATTATTATAGAGAATCTGAGTATAGAATTGTGTATTCCATTGTGACTCTTATCTAAGGGAAGATATTATTTGGTACTAATTCCACTTCTTCTTTTTTTTTAACATTCCACTTTTCAAAATACAAGTATTCTATTGCGACTCTTATCCAAGGAAAAAATTTTATTGGATACGGTAGAGGATTTTAGTCCGATTTTATTTGATACTAATTTCACTTTTCAAAATATTACTGTACAGCAGTTTCATTACCGTTCCCTTGGTAGACATTCTAGCTTCTTGCATAGTGTTTAACAAGATTTTTATTGGTCAAATGTGCGCTCCTTTATCAGAAAATTTATACATTAGTGTGAAGTTTGTCAAAAGAAACTATTGGGTAGTCCCAAAATAATGTACAAAAGCAGAAACAATTTTTAATTTAATAAAAATAGTTTTTCTAAGCGGAGCAATATCAATATCGTCCCAATCAGTTTTAATGAATCATGATTAATTTTTTATTAGCATAAAATGTTTGATTAACATACTGTTTAGACAATTGAATAATTATCTAACTCCGATAATTGATTTGATTGCTAGATTTAAAATCCACAGTCCTTGATCTCTAATGGCATGTGGTACTTCACTCCTATTTTCGGTCTGAAAATTCCCGAGCAGTGAGAAATGTGGGCTTGATATTTTTTATTATTTTTTTTAATAAGATATGTGAATTGTGTTGCACACGATACAATATGATACTGTGTACGGAACAAACCATTACCCAACTGAATACTTTTCTTATTCTACACAAATTCACCCATATTGATTCTAATTTCGTTAAGAAAAAAGTTGCACGCAAGGATCCACGACCCACTAAACCAAAAGTTTCTCAAGCTCAAGCATTGACTCTTCTAGTTAGAGACCAACTTCTTGGGTTGGTCTTCAGTTTCTTTCCTCCAAAAATTAAATTGTGGATGTCTTCACAAAGACTCACATCAGATTGATTGCAATTTCTCAAAAACAAACTCAAGGTGCGGACTCTCGCCTCTCACCGCGTACTAAATTTGGCGTGTTGTACATAATTACTCGGTGGGTGATTTTTTACGCTGTTTTGTTGTTATTTTGTTAGATCTATTTCTGTTAGGCTTAGATCTATTCCTGTTAGGCTTGTTGCTGGCTTGATGGGTAGGACTGCAAATGAGCCGAGTTGAGCTTTACCTTGCTAAGGCTCGGCTCGCCAGTTTCAAGAGGGTGCTCGGGCGAGCTTAGCCAAACTAGGCTCGGGTTCGGCTCGCCAATATTTTGGCAAGCTCGAGCTCGGCTCAGCTCGAGCTCGCCTTCAAACCACCAAAAAAAAAAAAAAAAACTTCATATCTAATAGTGTTTTGACAATGGATCAAAGAGCATCACTTTCTGATCTCCCCAACACTAAAATGGGATTCACACATCGGGATCCAAAGAGAGATTTGAGAGAGAGGTCTATTGGAAACCCTCACTGTAAGAGGGAGGAACCCATGATGTATCGATGTTGAAAGGGATGGGATGTTGCAAGATTTGTTTAGGGTTTCATAGCAGATGTTGCAGAGATTTGTTAGAGACAGTCGCGGGGGTGCTAGAGAGGAAGAAGAGAGGAGCGATGCTGTGAATTTTGTTGCTGCTGCTATAATGAATTAGGGCAGAAAATCCAGCGTGATATAAAGAGAGAGAGAGAGAGAGAAAGAGAGAGAGAGAGAGAGAGAGATATATATATATATATATATATATATATATATATATATATATATATATATAATGATTGGGCTTAAAGTTAAATGAAATTGGGCGTTATATGTATTTAGATTGGCTAACTTTATATTAAATGGGCCACACAATTATATATGAGTATAAAATAAAATAAAATAAAAATTAATAAGCCTATTCACGAGCCTAGCAAGCCGAGCTTAGCGTTGCTCAAGCTCGGCTCGTTTACTTCACAAACGAGCCCGAATCGAGCTTTTAACGAACCGAGCCCAAGTTGTTCATAAACAACTCGTTTGCAGCCTTACTGACGGGGTAAATCTGTGTTTTGTTTTCCGGCTAGATCTCCGATCTATGTTGGATTTTTTTGTCCCCGTCTCTGTGTGGGTTTTGTGGTCCCCGCCTCTATGTGGGTTTTGTTGTCCCTACCTCTTGTGCGGGGTTTGGGTGGTTTTTTCCCCGTTGACGGCACCTTGTGGATGCAGCCTTGGAGCAATTGCCTTGACGATGGCCTGACCTGTAGGTCACTCTCATTGCTGCTTTCCTCCCTTGGTGGTTTCCGTTGGTGCATTGTTTCTCAACAAATCTGGAGTCCGTTCCTCCGTTTTATTCTCTTACTTCATGATTTGTTTGTCTTTGTACGGTTATTTATAGCACTATTTGTAGACACCGTATGGCTATTTTTCTTATTGCCAGGATGATATAAAAAAAAAAAAACTCAAGGTATATGACCCCCATTTAGGGATGGCAATGGGGCGGGGATCTCATTCCCCATCCCCATCCCCGGTCAAATTTTTTGCCCTCATCCCCGCCCCGCCCCGTCCCGCATAACATTTTTTAAATTCCAATTCACCTTCAACAAAATCAACACAACTATAATATTTTTCAACCTAATATTTTAATAAAGTTTCAGCACAATTACAACAATTTAAAATATGATTAGATGTTGATGCACAAAGACTATGTTTTTTCTCTATATTGCGAGGGAATAGATTTAGGGTTTCACTTGCAGAAGTGAATATATTATATATATAGTTATGTAGTTTAATAATATTTTCTAACATGTAAGGGCAATTTTATAAAAATACACTATAAACGGGGCGGGATGGGGCAGGGTTACCCTCCCCCGCCCCCGCCGGGGTTTCAAATACAATCCACATCCCTTCCCCATTTACATAAATGGGTTCCCAAACCCGCCATTCACAGTACGGGGTGGGGCGGGGACCCGCCGGGCATGGGGATTTTGCTATCCCTACCCCTATTAAGTTATGTATAATGTGTATGTGTGTGTATTTATATATATATATACATATATTTTTTCTTAGGTTGTATGATGTGTATATGGATGCTACAAACTCTTGTTAAATAGGATAGGGTCGCGTGTGCTTTACATCCCTGTGATATTGAGATAGTGCGTATAACCCCTCATTGTTTATTCACCTCCCCTATACTTTAAAAATGGTGCAAATAAGTGCATTTTGGGTGTTGACAACTATTGACCGGTACCGGAGCTACAAAAAGACTAAAATAGCCCTCTATTTATGATTTAAAAATAATAATAAAATAACATTAAATGGAAAAAGTCTGAAATAGCCCTCTATCAATACAAAGTCATTTTAAGTTAGGCCATATTCACATAAACGGTTTCAGCTTCTTCCCCTTCACACTCATCCATCCCATATACATCTCCCCTGTATATACATGTACACACATAAATGATATATATAACTTACTAAACCACACCTTTTATACACAACCAACCCTAATTCGATGGCTCAATTTCCCTAAATTCTGAATCGAAGCAAGCCTTAACACTTGCCGGCCTAATCGACAACCTCCACGACGACCTCTGTCGATGACCTCCATGGCGACCTCCACAAATCGAAGCAAGCACTGACACTTACCGGCTTAATCGACGCCTCCGATCAATGGGTCGGCGGCTTCACCAACGTTGTCCAAGTCGACGACGTGATCGACCGCGGTAGAGTCGAGATCAAGATCCTCTACTTCCTCGAGAAACTGTAGTGAGAAGCCGAGAGGAATGGCGGGAAAATCATCACCATGAACAGCAATCACGAGATCATAAATGCGAACGGCGATTTTAGGTATGCCACTCTCTCGGGTCTGAATGAATTTAGGGTTTCGGCTCATTTTTTTTATATAATTTCTTTTAGGGCAAATCATTTCAGCCTCCCCAATTGCCTCCATCTCTATTCTCGTTCTTAACTCTGAACTTACCCTCTCTCTCTCTCTGTAACTTCAAACTACAAATTTTACAAGAATCAGAATTTCAAAGCCAATATTT